AGCGTCGTCAGCGCGCTTGAGGTGAGTCGTTGCATTGTCGAAGACTAGGACATGCTCCTCATCTGGATAATACTTGTTTAGGATGTCCATTGCCCTCTTCGCATGCACTAGGATGTCCTCGTTGGTAAAGTACCCTTCTCTGTTCTTTCCAGCTTTAAACAGCACACGACTTGATTCAGTGCCATCAGGTGAGCACAGATAGCCGTAGTCTGCAGAGACAAACTCAGCAGTCATTAACGAGGCACCCTCGCCTTTAGGCCGTGGTTTGGCGGTCTCGGATGCATGCACCCAGCGTCGTCGCCAGCGATCGTTTGCGTAGAATGTCGATTCGTCGTGAAACCACACGACAATGTGTCGTTGCCTGGGGCCGTACATGGGAGGATTTGCCTGTATGTCCTCTTCCTCCTCCATCGTATTCTCGTCCTTCCACCGGCGCGTTCTGGACTGAATGGTTTCCCAGGCCGGCAAGAAGACTTTCTGACGGTAATCAACCACGTCACAGTGTTCGTGGCCATCGACGAATTGACTGCTTGGGCAGAGCGTCCACCTGTAGTCCATCTTCCTCATCCAGCGCTGTGCCGTAACCTCGCATATGCGCTTCTTCAAACCCAGCCTTGTTTTAACCTCTTCCTGGTCTAGAATCACAGATATCCCTCGCTCGAGCATACTCTCCCACACTCTGGAGATGTAAGTGTATTTCCTGAGCCAGATCTTCATCGTCGATGCGTGATTTACCCCGAGTGCCATAGACATTGAAGGGGAGTTCCTTGCGGTCGGCAATAAAGGCCTGCGTCCATTCGCGAACTTTGTGTGCTGCCCATGGACCTTTCTCGGAAGTGTGCGCAACATGGAGGGATGCAGCGGTCCAGCGTGAGCCTCCTCGGCCTATTTTCAGTGAGTTCAACGCTGACTCGTCTGTGTAGATCCATAAGAGCATCTTCATCTGCTCGATGCGAGTCTGTGTGAGTACATCTAACACGGGATCTTTATAACCATTGCCTGTCTTGTGAGGCGGTCGCAAGATCTTCTTGATGTCGGCTAGGGCTGATTTGGCCTCTGCAATGCTCGGAGGGTGCCGTGCATTGATGTCATGCCACGGCTCCTTGTGCGTGTGCACGTACTCCTCCGTGGCTTCCCTAATGTCTTCGTGCCCCACTGATCCGCTTACAGGTTCCTCTTGTGCACTCGGACCAGCAGCAAAATCCACTCCATGCTGCTGATCCGTCTCTGTCTCGCCCGACTCTTCTTCTTCACCCTTGTTACTCTCGAGGTCAGATCCCCAGTCAAACTGCCCAGGGAAATCATCCGCGCTGTCAGGATCATCAATGCCAAAGTCTTCGAAGATGGAGTTCTCATCCTCGAGGTCTGGCATCTCCTCAGATGGCACTGACCCAGCTCCCAAAGCGGAAACGGCGCCGTCGCGAAGTGTCTCGTCTTCGATCTCGAAAACTGGCACTGCACTTTCCGGAGGAGTCTTGTCTTTGATCTCGACTGCGGTGTCCACATCCATATGCTTGTCAGCCTGTGACGATGCCATGGGTGTAATGTGAGTGCTTCTCTTCTCGTTGCTTCCAGCTTTGCCTCCTGATTGTAGTCCTTGCGCAGGCATCTGTCAATGCTGTTTTAGTGATTAGTTGCAGCATGAGGGTTTTCTTACATTCTCCTTGTTCTCTTCAGGCTTCCTCCCTCCCTTGGCTTTCTTCATGGCCCAATTGCCTAGATTTGGAAGCCGTGACATTGGAGACTTTCTTTTGAAACCCATTTTTGGTGTTTTGCGACGCGACAGAGAGGACTCGCCACTTTCCCAAAGCGGAAATCACGTCTTCCCAAAGCGGAAATCACGTCTGGCCAATGCGCGCGACTGGCGCTTATGTTGATTGTAGCCCATACAGCTCGCATTAGTCCATTTATCAATTATTCAAAACTATGAAGTTGTCGGGCACGACTAATAAGGACTTTCCATGGTTCTCAAATTTCATGAAAAGGACGAGCGAAATTGTCAACCTCATTTCTTCATTTTGTCACTCTATGTAACGCTTCCCACGGGAAGGTTTGATGTGTATGGATGCAGCATATCTTAGGTGGACCTGTAGTGCTCGTCGTGGTCCAAAATACAATGTTTGTAGAGTAGCGGATAAAAGATATGCCGCCCTACTTGTAGGTTCCTGAGGACCCACTGGTTGAAAGTAGATATCTGCGCACACACTGTTAATTTGAGCCAGTAAAATCGCAAACTGATGCTTGCCTGTGTGTACGGTATTCTCCGATATCGATATCGCCCCGCGCTGGATGTGTTGCATCATCCAATGAAGTGCTTTTTCGTTATTGAGTTGGTAGAACGCAGTTTCCAGAACGGCGACAACAGACGTCCGTTCCTTCGAAGGGATCATTTTCATGGCAGTAGACATCAGATGGGACAGCCGATACTCCAAGTGCAAGAAGGGCGCGTTGTAATGTGACTTCTCTTTCAAAGCGCGGTTGCCTTGGTTGGGTGCCCGCCAATCCATATCAGAGTTCTCAAGGTCATCCTTTGGATCCTTGCAAAAGACAAGAGGGCGGGTAAGGGGGGCGATCGGATCCCGATAAAGTACAGCCAGCTCTGTCTCAACCGATTTTACCCAACGTCGATGTCTTTCTTCCAGAAGCTTAAGCCTTGTCAGAGGCTTCGGCGATGTGGATAGGTGATTGATCTTTAAATTTATTGCAACAGGAATCTTTGATGCCCTGTAAATTCATAGTGCTGCCATTCGACGATCGTCTCGGGTGTGGTTATGCTTGGTTCCTCTTGTAACATGCTTCCCCTTCCCGATTCGAGTTTGGGTATTCGAATCCCATGTTGTGCAGTGGCTACGACACTTGCAGACGACGACTCGCTGTGAGCGACCCATATTGGTCGTGTGTGATTGGCGGGCGAGGAGACTTTGACTTCTAATTGTGATTTACATGCATATAGATTTAAATCGACTTTGATCGTCGTGTAGTAACTTGGCATGAACACGTGTACATACTACGCCCATAGGTATGCACAATGCACGTCTTTCCCTACTCATGCCTGCAAATTTCGTTTCTCCTGGGCTATATCTTTGGCCTGTTGTTGCAAATGAGCCTTCCGGGTGGACTTGCCAGCTAGGGGCTTTGCTCCCATGGCAGTTATAGCCGCCTTCAACATATCCACAGTGAACACATTATCAATGTCGTGGTCAGACGGCAGTTCCGATGCCGGTACCATTAGTTCTAACGGTAATATTGTGGCTGGTGCAACTGCCGGTGCGGCCAGCTGAGGCGAGTGGGAAGGAGTTGCAATTGGTAGAGATGATCTAGTAGTCATCCCTGCCTGAGGTCGTTTCAACCTCGAACTTCCCTCAGACAATCTACAGACATCGACAAGTTATAGCTTTGCAAAGTGACCACAACAGCGTACCTTCCATCTCCTTCGCCAGACGCATGATCCTCGAAGACGTCGGGGTCCACCTGTGCGTGTGAGGTGATTGCCTCAGACGAGTCTATAGTTTCCCAGGGTAATTCCTTCGCCTAGTCTAGTTAGACGGGATATGAAGTAGCAAGCTTAAGTTTGATCTTACAGCTTGCCCGACGTTCACAGCATCATCCTCCACGCGTTCCGAGTGAAGTTCGGCATCAAGGCGGCGGTCATCGTCCCTATGTTGAGCAGCAAGAAGTGATTGTTGTTTACGAATCTGGGGATCATGAATGGCCAATCGAGATCGTGTGCGGGAAACGGGACGAAGAACCAACCTTGCTTTTCGGTTCCTCCAAAGCATCTTCCAACAATTTTACCTGCCACTGTGTTGTCAACAAAGGGCCAATGATCGTAGTCAATTGTCGACAAACTTGGCTTTGCGCGAGTTTGACTTCGTTTTCCGCTCTCGACAATTTTATGTTCAAGTTTGTCAGCTAGGGAAATGCTAAGTGGCAGGTCGAAATTTCACTTGAAGATATGAACCTCCTTCTTCGCCTTGTCTCGTGCATCCCGCACGTTTTGGATCTAAGATAAGTGGTTGCTTCAATTATGAGAGTCTCTGGTAGCATAATAAGGAATCACACCTCCTCGTTGTATCCCTTAAGTTCTTTCTCTTGGGAATGCACGACATCATTTAGATCAGCAATCTCCTTAGCATTGTCCTTGCACTTCTCATGATTAGGCATTATAATAACCATCGCTCTGCTGTGCCGTGTGGAGACGTACCTTCTTCTCCAAATCCGCAATGGTGCCCTGCAGTGTTATCAACTGCGGAGTATGCATAGTAGGCAAGGCCCACGTGCGAAGTTCATTCAAACCTACCTCTGCGCTCCACTCTTCTTCCCTCTCCATTTGTCTCGCGGCAGCCTCCCTTGGAATGTTCTCTATCTGGCACTTGAGTGAGTAATCGACCACCCAAGTCAACTAAACTGAATGCTAACTTTGGCAGAAACTACTCGCTGAGCGGTAGTCAAGTCTTGAATAGTAGCTTCCTTGTCGAGGTTATTGCGCCGTAGAATGACGTTCTGGTCCCTTCGATCTGTAAGACAATTGAAAGACAATGTCCTTGCTCACCTCTTCCTCTGATTCAATCAAGGCACGGTGCACTCCATCTAGCTGTGCCTGCGTACGGTTTATCTATTCGACATTGTTCAAGCCTACACGGTTTCAGTGGTATATATGAATATGTCATCACCTCCTCTTCCTTGTCCGCCAAGTGACTATGCAGTTTATCCATCTAGATGGATATTTGAGGGTTGTGCACGATATCAAATAGGCATTGGCCAGACACTGCAATCACCTTGTTGACGTCGGATACTCGAATTGCAAGCGTCGAAGCACTTAGGACGGCTGCAGCAACGTCTGCGATCAGAGGGGGCATTGTTTAAGGGATACCTTTATGATGACCGCGAGGTAAAGCTATATAGTAAATAGGCAGGATCACATGATTACGTAATACAAAGTAGTAGTTGTTGTCACATATAAACACAATCTGAATGGTTTAAATCTCTAATCACCCGTCTCACTCCTTCGAAGTATTTCTGCGAATCTTAGCCCTCTGCGATGCTGACTGAATCCATGACGGTTTACCGGCATTCTTAGTAAGGAAATAATCACACATCCCGACTTGATCTGGGTGGGTGATATGGGCTTCGTCCAGACCTTCATTCCACACTTTGGTTATGTTCTTCCAGCCATCCTCGAAGTACCAGACTCTGTGGGAATCGGCGCCCTTGATGGCTTGTGCTGACCGCACATTGTAGAGGATGAGTATGTCGCCGTTCATTGATGTCCACACCGCAGGCACCAAGACACCCGGGCTGGGTAGAGTCTTAACTTTGTGAAGTTCGTGGCAGTAAACTGTGACGAAGCGGATTCTATGCTTTCTGATGGGCGTTGTGTGGTCAGATGTTACCGCTTTCCAGTCAACACCCCGATGTCTGCTTCGAACCTCAGCATTGACGGTCGAGAGTGGTGAAGTCGAGAGAGGCTCAGGCGACGAGCGGCCAGGTTTCCTTTATATACACAGTGAGTACAAGATTAATCACGGAATGACGGATAATATACTCTAATGGTTTGTTCGCGAGCGGTGCAGACAGTCCCTCTATCTTCATGTGGACGGAGACCGGTGGGCGGGCCCCCAAGCCATGACGACCAGAGGGCGGTTTGAGTGGACTTGGAGCCATGAGGTTAGTTAACGATGAATATAGCGCATAGGGGAAAGGATTACCTTTGAGTCGACGTCTCGTTCTTAGCAGAGGAGTCACCTTCGTCCTCTTCCTCTTCCTCTTCCTCTTCCTCTTCCTCTTCCTCTTCCTCTTCCTCTTCCTCTTCCTCTTCCTCTTCCTCTTCCTCTTCCTCTTCCTCTTCCTCTTCCTCTTCCTCTTCCTCGTCTACTTCCTCAACAGTCACCTTCCTTCCCCCTGACGATTTCTGGGAGATCGACGAAGGCACGAACACGGATGGCGCTACAGGGCTAATCGGAGGTCAACGCAAGGCAAAAGAAATGAGAAAGCGGGTGCATTCTCACTCGGTGCCGTCCTTCAATTCGGCGAGCATGATAGCCACAAGATGAAGGGGCTTTGTCTTTTTGTGTTCGGCCTTCGACATCTTGTTCTCGAGAGTGCTGGTGGCGAAGACCGTGAAGTCTTTTTCATGCATGAGCTCATACATCTGGGCCAAGATATCCGCGATAGCCTCCAGCCCATCCTCCCCCGGGCAATAGGTAAGGAGAACCTGGTGAATGGTGTTGTGAGTCGCCTGACAGACCAAGCTGCCGTCTTTGTCCTTGTCCCTGTCCTTTTCCCTGCCCTTGCCCTTGTCCTTTGACGTGTTCGAACCAGAGGGGGCCGAATCTTTCGGCTGCAATTTGCGAAAGCTGGTAGACAATATCTAAGAGAAGAATGTTAACGTTAGACCCGATTATATCAATTGAAATGGCCGGTAGACTGACATTTGGTCTTACAGGAGTTGGACTTTGGAGTCGAAATTTGAAGCGGCTCGTGTTGACGTTGTCGGATGTCGACATCGTATTGCACGCAGCAGAATTGGGTGGGGGGGTGGGGGGGAGGATGTGAAATTCCAGCTCTGAACCGGATACCACTATGCCACTATGTGTATGTTGTCATCTATTGAATACGCTTCGACGTTATCGATAATCATGTACATGCACACGTCCCTGTCTCAACGTGCACGTCGACTGCATCTCGATGGAATCTTGCAATCTCACTCCTCATCGCTAGATCTTCAACGTGTACACACAAGGTTCTCCCAGATGTTTCTCACTGATCACCGCTGTAAATTTACCTGCAACAGGACTAGCGATGGTCCGGTGGCGTACCGGTACGCCATCGACTAGTATATTGTTTTCTGAATTATTATGCGCATGTGTATATATTGAGTATTACATATTGATTGTGTCGGTAAGTAGTAATCTAATCTGATCATATTGTTGTAGCCCCATAACTCACGTGAACTCAGGCCAAAGTCATGTGTGAATACGGATCCCTGTCCCCCTCCGCGTATTTTTAATTGCCCCGACGAGTTGTATAACCCGTACTCCGTAGACTGACGATGATGCTGAGTGCGTGGTCATCATTCAGCACGGCTGAAGAGTTTGTGCGGGTCATGAGCCCCTTTACAATCACGCTTGCAATCAATACCAACATATATCATTCACATTTACTCAGTAAATTCAATAGGAGAGAAGTCCCCATGCTCTTGGGAAGCACAAACATCGGACTGTCTAACCATCCATACCTGGTCGTAGGCATTGAGCGGCAAACCCGCCACAAAATCTTTCGAGGTGCTTGGCTCGGTGTTGTCCCGAACGCGTACACGTGGGTAGCAGCCTCGTTTGTCCTGTGACGCTTGTTGTCGCCTCAGGTAGAAAGAATCGAAGGCTTGAAGCCAACGTCTGACAACCTGAGCCCTCCAAACAGGCCTTCACACCCGAAATCTCGGCGCAGCTGTATGCACTTCTGAGCCCATGCACTCCTCTCCGTCGGATTCATCGCTGGACATCCCATCAATGCCTAGACGGTCTAGTAAGGATATGTGCTTGTGGAGGCGATGATCATGCAGCACAGTGTCGTGACGCTGGATGAAGAGCTGGAAAAAATGAGAAAAATGTCAACAAAAGCAACGTCAATTAAGTATTACCGTCCTCTTTCTCATTTTCCTGTGCTTTTGAATAATACTGTTCTGTTGTTCCCTCTTTGATTTCTTGGAAAGTTTGTACTCCTGTTTGAGGGTTTTCAACCGCGTGAAGAATGCAGTCCGCACCATCTGCTGGTCCAGTTCCACGCCGGTGAACGCCTCGAATGTGTGGACGAATACATTGGCTGCAGATGTGTTCCACAGGCTCCTTGGCGGGCCAATCAAGTCGATCCTGAAATTCTCCACGGTGCAGCAATCACCGCCATCGACGTCATTGCCACCGCATAATTCGGTGAATTTCTGGATGTTGTCGGAGCCGACGGTCGTCAGAGCCTCCGACCTGCCTTCCTCTCCCATCCGAAGGAGAATAGCTAAATAACCTCGAACACTCTTCTAATAAATAACGTCAAATTTCTTGATTCGTTCTGATGAACTGACATGGCATACCACGAGAACAAGGGTTTCCACCGCTCTACGCTTTGTCATACCAGGCTTCTTCATATCTGGGGAAGCGAGCTTAGACGCCGTAGTGCTCTGTCCGGCGTTGGATATCATGGTCGAGATGGTTTCACGTAAAGATTGCACTTCTTCCAATACCTCTTGGTTCCCTTCCACGACTATTTCAGATAAGGCATTGTACTTATTTGACAATTCTTCGATTTCTTCATTAAGTTTGGTGGTACCCCGTTCGGATGGGTCCTTCTATGTAATCAATGTCAGCGTTTGAAACTCATGTGATCGTTTCTTTACTTTGCTTAGAAATGAACTAATGGAAGCACCCCATCCTGAAGGTGTACCCAAAGAGGGTCCTTGGGGGCTTCTGTCACTCGATAAATGCCCTGGTAAGGGCTCCGGGTTCGATAAAGCCTCAGAGGCTGCATATTCGACGGTGGGCAATGCTTCTAGACGCTATCTCCATTCTTTGTAACTCAGGATAACAGAGTGATTCTAAGGCTTACCTCAGGTGTCTGACGTACTTGGCTTGTCCCATCTTCGAGGACCCGCTCCAATAGTGCCGTTCCCATGCCATACCCTTCGGATATGAGGGGGTTGGCCCAAAAACCTTGCGCTTGTTCGCTTTGCACATGGGTGTCCTCATCGGCTCGATTGAGTTGAGGCCTAATGACAGCCTGGTCGGATGTCTCGCCCCTACGCAATGGGAGAGTCTTGAGGTTGCAGTACCCTGACACACTCGCTAATTCTAGGTATCAATATCGTAGGATATGAGCATGGAAGGAGGATACACACTTGGAGGCCATCACTCAGCGTTGTCTCCCCATCTTAGTGGTTCCATCGATGCTGTTCCGATGCTGCGACCTTCGGATAGGGGAGAGTCGGCCAAGACACCTCATGTTTGGTCGGTGTCCTTGTCAGTTCCTCAGTTGACTTGAACCCTAAATACAGCCTGGACAGATGTTCCGCCCCTGTGCGATGGGGGTGTCTTCAGCTTGTTGTATACAGAAGTACCGTCTAATTCTAAACATCAATATGGCAGGGTGGAAGAAAAACATTGAGGGAGGAAATACCCACTTCGAGGCCATTGTGAAGGCTGGCGGAGTGACCGTTCGCTACTACTCCAGCGACTGCTAGCATGCGACGTTGGTGGTGGTTCAACCTCGGGCGAAGTTTGGGGCGAAGCGACCGTTGTTTCTTGACTTTGAAGACCAGGAACGCGGTTACTGCTGGTGAAGCGTGCGCCTTTGGAATATGAGAGTACTGATCACTGGAATTGAAACCAAGTAACTGACTTTGACTAGATAGTGGTCCCCCAGGCCTTGCAAGCGCGAAAAGACGTGGATCGAGCTGTGTTGGGGCTATAATGGACATCAATACAGATTGTGTTCGTCGTATAGGCAAGGAGCTGAGGTAGTGAACTTACTTCGTCTCTTCTGCCGCCCCCTTGGGGATCCAATCATTGCTTGACAGCACAAATATCGATGATGCTATGAACGACTTGCGATATATTTTAACCCTTATTTCACGCTTGCCTCACGAGGTTCCTGGGTAGCATACAGCGCACTCTATATTTATTTATAATTAATCAGGAATGTTGTCTCCTCGTTCCCTCTACAGAGTTAACGCGGCCGTGCAGGGATGTCTGCTCGTGTATGTATACACATGTTGATGGCCATGCATATGCCCGATCAGGGGATCCAATATCTGACATCGTATTTACGTCTTCGAATGACCCTACGGGCTCATGTGTTCGACACATTGTTTGACACAATCATTGTGGCCGTCATACACGTGGGTCATGCACCAAGATCTATAGCTATCTAAATTCAGTATATGTATACCGTACATCTATGGCAATGCGGCCGTACAAATCTTGTGTGAAATCGTAGCCCTTTGAATATATTATCGACAATTACGCATCAGAGCAGCCCCACCTTTCGTGTTGGAGTATGACAGTCCCTTCGTATGACCATGATCTCGACACCGATTTCCACCTGTTTCTGTCCACAGACGATGGATCCAAGCCAGTGACATCTATGCAGATATCCCCCGAGCCTCATGTGTTCGTTGCGGTTGGCGAAGTGGGAGGATGCACCAAGGTGATTGTAACTTCTTTGATTGAGTGGGTCATGTTCTCATCTCGTGTTTTCGACAGGTCTACGAATGCGAAAGCCCATTCAATGTGATCGCGAGTTTAAGCCCAGCACCTTCCTCAGATCTGCCATGCGAGCCCAAATCTCTCGCCTGGAATCCGAGCGACCCAACCGAGCTACATGTTGGGTTTTCAAACGGAGACATAAGCACGCATCGATTTTACAGAACTAAGGATCATGATGAAGTAAGTAAATCTCTTTGTTTTTCTCGAGATTTAGGCTAATTGACCACAGTTTCAATGTACCAGTACAGTAATCCAGAGAGATACGACCGACGAAAAGCAAGAAGGACCCGTGAATCATCTTGCATTATCTCGGGATGGGTCCATCATGGGCGCCATTATCCACCAACGTCCGATCGTGTTTCATAGAGATTCAAATGGTAAAGGGGGTTCAGCTCTTTGCGAAAGCGAACTGAAGGAACAATCACAGGCGCTGTGGTGAAGACAACATCTATAGACTGCGGCTCCTGCACACCCTGGCGTCTGGTGTTCTATCAACGCAGGAATTTCGACCGCATGATAATTGCGATGCACAATTCAAGTGACTATAAGACTGGAGTGATGTAAGTTTTTACGCCATGCCATCTCCGATCCCATGATGATCTCTCATCAAGAGCGATACGCGTGCCCGCTCCGGAAGATGACAGCAACAATAAGTATAATATGCTATGGAAAATAGAGACGCGGCAAGACTTTATGTAAGCTGTCCTTCGAAAACTCGTCATTATCATTTACAACTCTTGCTTCATACAGTCTGAGTTTTGCCATTTCTCCTGATCAATCTCGCTTCGCCATCATTTACGCACACGGAGGCCTTGAAGTTTATTCCATCTCGTCGGCCTTCATCGCCGCCTGTATAGCATGGGATCCTCCGTCTGATGACGACAACTTCCCATGGATGTCTGCTTCATCCAAAACAACTCACTGGTCATTGGTCATTCTAGGCGCCGAAGGCTTGTCCTCGCCAACATCGACGGCATGGACATAATGACTACAGTGGTTGATCTTCGACGGGCAGGACGCCAACAAGGTAGGATTGTTTTCGCGTCAATATGCCACATTGTAACTTACAGTTGTTTGACTCGAGTCTCGAGCATTATCTCGTTTAGTAAGTCAATTAGTTGAGTATGAAATCAATTACGAGGAGTCTCTAATCTGATGGTGTAGGATGCGGCAACCTCCTCTCAGGGCGAGATTCTAGTCATTATGGGTGACAGACACCCTCATGCCTCTAAGGGAGACATAATCTTCCTCACTACAAAGAAGATGCCGCCCCAAGGTATGCCTGACACCTGCTATCATCTCGATAATCACGAAGGATAACTGGAAAGTAGAAGCCGCCCCAGCCCCCGCCGTGGCTTCTGCGCCGGCTCCAGGCCCTCTAATTACCCCCACAACACCCGGGCACACTAGTACTTCTGCACCAATACCCGTTCCTGACCCTGCCCCCGCTGCTCCCACCCCTGCACTAGCACCTGTTCCTGACCCCGCCCCCGCTTCTGCTCCTGACCCCGCCCCCGCTTCTGCTCCTGACCCCGCCCCAGCGCCCATTCCTGACCCCGCTCGCGCTTCTGGTCTGTACCCTGCCCCCGCCTCTGGCCCTGCTGCCGGACCCACCCAAGTATCAACACTAACTCCCGACCCTTCTCCTGCTCCCGCAGCCCCTCTGCCGCCGGCCGCGGCTCCATCAGTTGTTGGCCCGAAAGGTGCTTTCAGCAGCGTCGGCGAGGGCTCACTTGTGGCACCAAACACACCAACTGCGAGGTCCCTTACATATGCGCCGCCTTTGGTACCTCCGATGAATCTGGATCTCAACAGTGTTCCCATCGATATCGATAGTGTTCACGGTGAGGGTGCGGCAGCATCAGAAGCAGACACCTTTGACTCTTCTTCGTCATCTCCGACGGACGTGCCAAGAGCGGCACCAATTGTGTCGCTGAAGACGACCATTATATTGGGAGTTTTGCTTGCTGTATACTCAGCCATCCAATTCACTCAAGAGACAACAGAGACAGCCACAGTGCATGTTTATTCAGTGGAAGCTCCCCCTAAGCCTGCCGCATATCCCACCATAACTGCAACAGTGACGGAGACAGCCACAATCATATCACTCCCCGCCGCCTCTACGTCCTTTGTAACCAAGACGGCAACTGTCACCTCAACAGTCATGGGCGCAGACACATCAACCCTTACTACGACCGTATTCACAACCGAGACGGCGACACTGACAGTGCGGGCAAAGACCCATGATACAACGACCTTATATTCTGCGGCATCCCGCATTGGCGCCATTCTGTACACGATCATATTTGTGTTAATATGCATAGTCCTACCTTTGGGAGGACTGGCACTAGATCGCCCGGATGCTAAGGAAGCGATTTATGGATGTGCCAGGCAAGTCTGGGGGTCTTTAGGCGAAACTCATCCAAATATCCAGAATTTCCTTGTAGTTTTGAGTGTTTTTTTGTGGCGTCACTGGAACAAGTTCATTGGACCAGGCGATAACAATGACAATGGTGATGGCGACAGAGACCTTGGCAAAGCCGTGGGGCCAATTTTCATGCCAGGGAATGCGCAACTCGATTGACGAAGTGCATATTTATGTCTGCTTTTCACTATCGCGGGGGTGGATATATATATATGTGGCGTATTACGCAATGACTTTTTTGGGGCGCAATGTATCTATCTAATGAACCACCTACGTATACAAGGACAGATATACGAGTAACGACTACATGTACACATGTACACTTAATCGCGACCACATAGCTATAGTGTTACATTGCGGCAAACACTTGTGCCTGAACATTCAAATATATATTGATGCCCACGATAATGGGAGGGTGTACACATGTACATGTAAATGTGTACATATACGAGGAGCATTGCCGAGGAATGCGAGCTCAATAACCACGGACTATTCATATATAGAGTCCGACAAAATTATGAACCGGATACTTACAATTATGCCCGTAGTTGTTTATAGTCGTGTTTAGGCCATGGTCATGTCCCAGCTTGCAAACAACTCAACTGGCCTTTCCGGAACTTAGCTTGTTTTTGGCATGAGACAAAGCGTAGATATTGATATTCGAATGAAGAGGTAAATTTGTGCGCACAGCAGAATCCTGTGGGTCCATCGTGGCCACATGGCGCTAATAGTTGTGGGTCCAAGATTTGATCAGATACACAATATATATTTGAGGAAGCTATCTAGATCCAACATCTGCAAAACGATCAAAATACAAAGTTTATATATAGCCACGTCTCCGTTCTAATATGCAAGCAAAGTTAGTGTTCCCATGTCGGAAACAGAAGATAGTGCACGCACATTATAACATGGGGATTGAAGCCATGAGCTCATAGGCGAGCAACATCTCGGAGAAACAGAAGTACACACGTATGAACCGGTACACAATGAGTACATATGTAGGTGCTATATATAATCCTTCTAGATACGTATACGTATATGATAGATCCAGACTGGCGTTGAGTGGGCCAAACATGAAACGAGGTTAAGGGGGAAACTCCTGAATGCAAGCAAGGAGACAGGGGGATATATAGGGACTATAATACATCAATGGACTTCGAACTTGTAATATATATACCACCGAAAAGCTTTGGCAGGATCCACATGTTCAGCCGGACTAATCATCATAAGACCTAGTCTCAGGACTCGCATCAAAATTCTAAGGAAAGATGGAGATGCCCATGCTCACAACTGAAGCATTATCATTGGCATGCCGAACTTATATCCCAGCAGCGCCCATTCGTTCTTGCGCAGGGGGTCCGTCGTCTTGAACAAGTCCGCACGCTTCACCGGCAGGTTGACCACCCAACATTTTGAATCACCCACATGTCTAGCCGTCCATCCTTCGAATGCCTTCCGCCGCAAGGCCTCAGCTTGCGTTGGGATCATCGTCCAACCACGAGCCACATATTTACTCTTTGCGGCTTCGAGGTTCCCAATTGCAAGATCTGAGCGTGCGCTGTCAACGGGGAGAGATATCTTCCTCTCCAGTGTCTCCTTGCCGTACAGACTGTAAGCATGAGACACTGTGATCAGGTTCATGACGACCGCTATCTGGGAGAGTTAGATAAAGAAGAGGGACGGTGTGAGGGGCTTACTTGAGTGGAACCCGAGGATCACTTCCATGACATTGCGCCGACAGATTATGAGTTGGATCTTCCTTGAGTGAACGGGAGACAGGAAACTGACAACGGCACGGATGCCCTTGAAACTGTAATTGCCTTGTGTACTATGCGCCAAGTCACCAGGGACTGCATTTCCCCTGCTTCCTGGCAGCGCTGTGTAACAAGGCCTCTGGCAAGGAATGCGACGATGTTGGGCATCTGAAGCGATCCAGTGGAAGTACGTTTGGTAGAAAGGCTGTGGTTCGCCGTGATGATTCAGCGCAATACACCCCACATCCCACTCGAGCCATTTGCCGACTTCAAACACGTGTGCGTACTCAACGTAGAGGTCGAGATCCGATTCCGGGTATGTTGCTCTTGTAAAAAACTGTAGAGCTGCAGAACCAGAGATAACGAGTCCACTTTCTCCTTGAAGGCGACGGAAAGCCGGAATATGCTCTAAGGGAATGAACGGTTCTAGTATGGGGTTCAGGGAGTAACTGCGTTGATAGAATATCTGCACTTCACCGTAGATCGCTTTGCAGGTCAAGGAATACCAGCGCAACGCGTTGAGCGATAGCTGTCGCATCACAGTCGCATGAATGATGTCGTCCCAGAGCATGCATCGCGTAAAATCTAGGAAACCTTCGGATGGCCCATCCTGCATCAAACGTCTCAAACCCGGCATAATAGGTGCACAAAGGCGGGGCTTACGTGACTTGCGGAGGTGGGCCGAGAAATGTGTTCAGGCTTAGCATTATGTGCGCCATTCTTTGCGCTCATTTCCTGTAGAACGGTAGGTGGGTCCGAGCCTGGCTTGAGGTTGTGTGGGAGATCTAGAGGGGAGTGAATTCGAACAATGTTGACTGCCCCTCAATTAATATCTACGTAATCGATTGTGTACGCCAGGGTGGCACCACAGCTCTTTGTATTTTGATTTATCTGGAACTTGTTATCTTAATAAAATTATAATTACTTGGCTTGATCCGTTATGCCTGATCCGTCATTATTTCGGATATCCCCCAATCAGGTGAGGTACCGGTTGGACGAACTCGATGATTGGAGTCGTGTGAGCTATGATAAGATATGATAAGATAAAGTGGGGATTAGGGGTTGCCCCTGTTAATCACGTAGATGCCTCATCATTACTAGTTTCAACGGTCATATAGCAGGCAGTAGCGACACGCTGCAAGTCTGAAAAGCAATTGGGTTACTTGCTGTAGCAGTGCTAGTTCAGCTCTTCATGCTCGTCACAGAACCAGAGCCAAGAATGATGATGGAGAGTCTATCGACAAAGACACAATGCCTTGAGGCCTGTGCAAATCCACCATAGTTTTAGAACACTTCTATGTTAGATGCAACATACAGTAGTCCAGTAATTCCACTTCTACACGTGGCGCCACGATGTGTAACGTGTAGTGACGTCCATTCTATGCCATCATAGAGTGTAAATCGTAGGACATTAGAAATTCGGATGCTAGGTGATCCCATGTCCTTCGTACGTGCCCGCCATCCTTTTTGGTCTCTTCTGCGTTCCATCTTCCAAATAATGTCCTGTTATAGAATCTGGAGTGCCCGCCCGGGACTCTTGATCCTAAGCGGTTAAGCACAGTATGCAATGAGTTTGGGGTGGAGGCCCTATAGCTACATGTATTCCCCGTGGATGGTCTCTACCGCGTAGTGAGTCCGGTGGCCCCTCACCAAGTTTATAAGACTAACCTTGGATCACAATTCTACCTTCCCCAATTGTAGGACGCTCCATCGACTTCTCGTCTAGTGCAAAAATCAGGCGTAGCACACCGTTCTTCATGCCGCAGAAGGTTAGCCGCTAATTGCAAGTGTCAATGATTTACCCCCATGAGACACTCTAGTGCGTACCATCCCTTGCCTCACGCGGTAGTAGCCTGAGCGTCACCAATCTGGTCCACCATCCATTGCCTGCCTCGCCGCGACGAGAGCCAGGCATCTATCCTCAAACATCAACTCCATGTCCTCCACTGAGAAGCCGGCAAGGTCTGTGTCTAGAATTATGTCCTCCATGGGCCTACACTCGTACGAACGCGCACACTGCGCTCCGCAACCCACATGATGATCTGTTTGCATTCGTAAGATGGTTTTTAGACAACTCTCGAGCAATCCCGGATTTTCTGAGTTCAATACTTTCGCACGAAAGAAGGTGAACATATGTTGGAGGTATTATAGGTATAATACCCTGTAGATACATCGTGTAGCGAGTATGTAAAGCAGGGCAATAGAATCCGGAAACGACAAGATGCGAATGAAAGTATTATACCGCGCAAAAAGATGTGTCATTGCAAAAAATACGATGATGATCAAAATATATAGACTGTGCCGACACAGAGGAAGACAATTCAGCAATAAACAGGTGAGCCGTGCGTCATGAGATAGTTTTTTAGGATGGGGAAGTCAGCTATGGACACATTGGTCATTGAAGAAAAGGGCTCGTCGCGGTATTTAGCAATGATGATGTTGCCTCGCCAGGCCACTTCCTCTCGGAAGAGAGGCCCTTGAATCTCGCAAAGGAGGTTGTTGATGGGGAAAGGTAGGCCATCCTGGGAGACGGTTGGGTAGAATATAATGTAGGGGTGGGTAAACTTGCGATGCATGCCATCTAACGCTTCTACCAACTGAAAGGTTTTACATTGTCAATTGCATGATAATAGATAGCGGTACAAACAAACCTGGTATCTCCATGCGCGTGAACCCAAGCCCTTGGCAATATAGTCCATGAACTCCTCCGGGTGAGGCATGCGTAGAGGACTGAGAGTGAAAGATGAATGGTGAGCCGACATCGTGGTTGGGCTAAGCAATGAATTCAAAAGCAATTAGCGATAATCGTGCTTATTACCTCGTCGTGAGCGATACCTGTGAACGTGTGGTAATTGTCAGAGGGGTTCCTATATCAACGATGACTGTACGTACCATATGTGGCAGCCGTCCGTCCGAAGGGAACAAAATGGCTTCGAAGCTAGACATTTGTTCCATCACACAAATCTCCTGTGGTCGCACGTTAGACCGAGATATTATCTTACGGCTAGTGACTGACTGGAAAAATAAAGATAGGGCTGGGTAGATGAAAATATGTCTTTTCGTATCCTTTCGTATTCGTTTTACCTGCGCATGCGGGAATCTCGAGTGTCTCTCGATAAAGTTTAAATACATCAACGTTACCGATGGTTGAAAGTGTTGGACAACCTCATGACTTTCACTCCGTTGTTGTTCAGGGATTGTGGATTGATTATTTAGTACTAAACTACAATATATATCCATGTATAATGAGCAACCTCGACATATTCTATGGACAAATGTGTATGTACTCCTGGAGTGGTGATGGTTGAAAAGCAAAAGGGAAAACTTTTGGGCTCCGTTGCGTCGTGTCACTTCAGGAAAGAAAGGGTGTGGGGGATGCCAACGTGATTCAAGTCACATGAGCTACGATAAGATAAGAATAGTATACCTACAGTACAGTAGGTGAATACACCACGAACTGGACTACCCGCCGGCTCATTAATTCACAACTACAATACTGGATACATGCGCAGGGATCATCACCCCGGCCATGCTAGGGGTGTAATGTAAACCGCCACGGCGCGACTATTTCTCATGGGCATGACGTGGAGTAGACATAAGCGGTAGATATAGCACGGTACATGCCCTCCCACATAGGGCAATGTCACTACGGAGGGTAATTGGATTCAAAGAGCAAATACTATGTAAGTCATTGATCCAGAAACTCCTCTCGCGAACTGGCACTCATTTACATTCGCGGATAGCCATATCAAATGAATTGAACTTAGATTATAGGGCGCGTACACACCAAATAACAGGCCGACCGGTTTATCCATCAACACAAGCCTATGATAGGTATATGTACATGCCGCAAACTAGACAAACCAACGAGACGAGGCGCTCGCTATCTACTGACTAGGCCGCATTCCCTATTCGCTAGCTGCTCGTGCCCACGCGACTCTAGATCTGTGGGTCGTTGGCGCCAAAGCCATGAGCTCATGTGAGCCTTCGAGTACGCGTGGGAGGACGAGCACGTGAGATCCAAACGACGCTCCGCCACCGTACTTCTTGTCTCGTAGACCGTGCGTGAGTGTCGTGAGGGCCGATCTTGATTTGTGAACCCAGAACCCTGGGCCGTGAGTTGTAACGGCCACATTTGAGGCCGTACTCGTCGGTTGCAAATCACATATGCTACCGCAGTTGGCTACTCGCTTGAGAGGTTCCGAAGCCAATTTGCAACGGACGAGTGATGCGACTTGTCGACCTCTTGAAACAGAGTATAAGCGGTAACATCCTTCTTACCACCCTTAGGCCCCGAACCCAACTTTTCCCAGAATGCGATGGCCGTGGGCTGGATGTGAACAAGAGTATCCCCTTTGGCTAGAGTAATCATTGGCGACTCCGTAAGTTGTAAGACACGCTCAGGCGAGGTGGATGAGGTAGCTGGAGACATGTCAGAATCACGCTGCATAGATTCAGAAAGGGAACAACACACCCAGTGAGAAGAGGTCTCGCAGTTCCATCGGCCCTTGAACGTTGGGTAATCGTGACAAAAGGTGAGCGATAAAATGGATGTCGGCGTGCCAAGCATCCGCCTGCGGCAGGTGAGTGGTTGCTTGTACATTGGCAAACCAGCATAGAGCCCACTCACCGTTGTCCACCACCTCCTTGGCAATCATCAACGCGGCGGCTTCCAGCGATTTAGACATTTCGTTAGCAGCGCCAAGGGCAGCACCAGGAGAAACAGGTGTTGGAACGAAGGTCGCACCAGGTCCAGCAGAGATGTTGGCAGGCGCGACAACGGAACTTTGAGGTCGAAGGGGGGAGCTCAAAGGAAGGAGTTGTGAATGATGGAATTGAGAATGAAGGAGTGAGTGTCCCAATGGAAGGTACGCTGGAGGAGGCGTGGATGCTCTTGTCGTTACTGAACTTGTTTGTTTTCGACACTGACCCAAGCAATTATGTTGCCTTGCGAATGTGGGAGTGGAAACCCATAAGAGTGGTGTGCGTTACTCCTTGTCTTCTTGTGAACACTCGTGCTCATTGGGAGTCCCACCTAGCCTTCGGTTCCCGACGTTGGTTGTATCGGTGCGTCGTTGTGCCTGCTCATTGCGCGCCTATTCTTGCTCGCACGTCATTAATGTTCGCTTTCTTGTTCATGTTTCTTTCTTTCTCTCTTTCCCTGCTTTCACCGTCGTTTCACCTTTCTTCGTCTGCCTGCGCGTTCTCGCCATTCGCATCTGCCCGTTCGATCACGAACGACTGGTCTAGGAACTGTGGGCGGCATTGATCGTGAGTGAGTGAGTTGAAGAACTGACGTCCTATATTTCGTGCGCAGCTGTGAGTGCTCTCCGATCGTGAACGAAAACGAACGTGAGTCTGTCTGTCGTCACCAACGCGCGAAGGTGTGATATTTACGCAGACTCGCCAACAAACCAACACTACCATTTGAACACCAGCATGACATGTCTTTCTATGGTCAAATCACTGCTTTCAAATCAACAAGACATCCAGCGACAAACGATCAAAGTGACATTGAACTTTCTAACTCGCGATCAAACAAAGCAAGAGATGAGTGAGCGTCTGGGGTATAATGTTGAGCAATTGAGCACATGGGTGATAATGTACGTAGCTTACCTGATGAGAATATTAACTGATTTGAGCATTTGCAGCAATGGACGCCATCAAAGCACGGACGGCGCACACATCACAATCCGGGGATTTCAGGGGAAATGGGCGGCCATCACAGTCCACATCTACGTGGATGAGTGGTACCGTTACGAAGATTACGCTGCCTGGTTGAACGGAAAAAAGTTACGGCAAAAGACAACGCAACTTCGAAAGTAAGTAAGAAACACGTACAGTATGAATTTGACGCTCATTTTCGCATTTACACGCTAGCCAAATCTACTGATATTCTTTTGATAGAAAGGGACAACATGGTCTTGATTCACGGCTGTAATGTAGTAGTAGTACTTGTGTAAATCAGCAGCAAAAGTATGGGTAGATCTTGGGCAAAGCTACATAGCAATAATAAGTAGATAGATGAACTTGTAGTAATGACTTAGAGAATAACAATGATAATGATTGTCTTTCTTAATATACAACGATGTGCATACTGGTCGTGAGCTCAGGCATGTGGAGTGGCAATTTAATTGTAATTCTCTGATGTCTATTTGTAATGATGTGAGGCTTCTTACTCTGTTCACGCTGCACAATACGCGAGACCGACTCTATTCGGGAACGTACGTGCGTGGTGTAAAGTAAAGAAGTTAACTACTAAATACGGATGTACGCGTAATAGTATCCAAGATAGGAGGGTCATGTGGCTCAGGGGAGCCAGGGGTTACACCCGCCCCCTCTAGATTGCTGATACGCAATCTAACAACAGAATATACAGCAAAATTTATACGAACAGGTGACAAAAGAAACGAGTAAGGAGCGAAATAAGGAATGTGGTATCAAGTTAAGGCGTGGACACGCCAGAACCGGTGTCAATAACGGGCGACATGGTAATGTCTTCGGGTATGAATGATGTGGTTGTCGCTGGCCGGAGCGACGTGGATCGTGTGTGCGGGTGAGTGGACCCGGATGCAGATGCGGCCGTTTGAGTGACGGCAGAGGCGCCCAGTTGAGGTCTGGACGATGAAGAATGTAAATAGGCGGGAGGCACAATTGTGCCTCCCAGTGATACCGTATGGGAAGTACGGTTGTCCTCTTCAGTAACATCGTCGTCCCACTCGAATGGGAGAGACGACGCCAATGAGGGCGGTCCCAATCTGTCCGCCATGGAATCCGAGGGTGCCACTGACGTTGATTGACCCTGTGTTGGGTCACCCATGGCCACTGTTGTGTGGCCGAGAGTGGTGGCAACCGCGTGCAGTTGTCTCAAGATGGCGGCATTCGTATTGTAGCCACCACGGGAGGCGGTCGCGAGATGGCGCGGTCGTTTGGATCGAACCTCGGTGGGTTCAGGGGGGCATCCCGGTGGGAAGTAGAATTGGGGATTCCGCAGGAGGAGTGGCGCGTTGGGCGCACTGGGTGGATATTGTGAGGGGGGCAGCGCGAGGAGCTGCTGGCGTGTGGGATAAGTATTAGGGCGATTCTCGTTCCGCGGATCGAGTAGCCACTGTCGTGCGAAGAGCCAAGCATCATTTGCCATTTCGATGCTGACTCCGCAAGCGGCGAGGTGTGCCGCAACGTCCTCGACCGATAGATTGTCGAGGTGCCCCGCATAATGGAACGGCTGGTATACGGAGGGGACAGTTAGTCCCAGTCGTTGTATCACGGCCTGGTACCTCCCAGGCATTGCGAGAAGCGTGGTCGCTCGCTCAGTGTATACCGAACGGTTACGTTCAAGGGTGGGATCCCCCACTGCGGGTGATGGGCCCGTCCTTCGTATTAGGCGATGCCCTCGTCGGGTCCTTAGGTCGAGCGGGTTGTCGCCCAATCCCGCGGACATGGCCTTGACGTGCCTGAAGTAATAATCGTACGCGCACCACGCTTCAGGTGGTGCGTCCATGCTTGGAGCTTGGTACCCTGTTGTGGGTCTTAATTCAGTACGGTTCGCCAATCCCGTTCTCATGGTTGGGGAGGATACCGAATCGTTCGTGGTCGCCTCGAGGTGAGGCGCGGCTGTTGTGCCGCTGGACGCCACTACCGTGGCGTCGGCTACCGTGATTCTTGGTAGCGGGCGAATATTCCTCACTCTTTTGACCCAGTCGGGGGCTCGCCATGTTCGCAGTGCAGCCCTCATGAATCCCCTCATGGGTTTCTTGTCGCTGGCTAGCTGATTTGCCACGTTGACGACTGATCGACAGCTGTTGTACGCCTCCCAATTGTCTGGGATCTGTGCGGCTTGCACCATCTCTGCCCATGCCGCTGAGTTTTCGGGGATCATGGGCGGCTCGTTTCCGCGCGGGACTGTGGGTGTGCTTAGTCTTCCCACTAAACTGTGGGCAGACGCAGCTTGCGAGTAGCTGGATGGTCCCGCTTGTGGTAGCGGTGGGAATTCAGGGGTCATCCGTCGACCTCTGGGCTGGTCGATCGTCGTTTTATCGGCCGCGTTTGTGTAACGCGGGGGCTCCTGGGCATCTGATGCTTCGGAGTCCCCATAATCCGAGTTTAGATCATAGTAGTCGGCTCTGAGCCCACTGTTCACGGAGAGGTTCGACTGTGGCTGGGACGCCATGCCCATTGACGACTCCATTTGTGAGCTTGTTGTCTCGGATGCCGGTCGTCCCGGGGATAGCGATAGCCGTGTTTTTCGACGGTTGTGTCGATGGGCGTCGTCCTGTGACGCCTCCAGTTCTTTAATCCTGGCGCGTGCATCGTCCAGCTCCCGCTCTATGCGATCAGCATAGTTGTTTAGTCGGGTCAGCTTCCCGTCGATTTCGTCGATTTCGTCTCGGTCGGACTCTATCGTCCGCCTGGCTGTATCATACAGCCTGTCGTAGTCGTTGAATATTTCCGGGCATATGTCCCGGGCCATGAGCTTTCGGTCAGCTCGTGCGTGATTGTTCCTGATACCTACCATAAAGTGGCTGGTAAAGTTGATGCAGATGGTGCATTCCGTGTTGGCGCAGTTCATGCACCCTATTCCAGTGTTTATCCAGGTCTGTTGTCGGGGCTGCCCTAGGTCGTATGGGGCTGCTGGGAATGTGTCCAGCTCGGCTATGGTCCTTGCCGTGGCTTTTCCTTTGCCTTTGTCTCTGCGACTCGGCTGTCCCTCCCCCTCTTGAGCGTCTCTTCGCTCACGATTGTCATCGTCATCTTGTGGCGTGTTTTGATCTCCGTCCATGTGGACGTCGTTGTTCGTGGGTGATTTCCCGCTCATTGATGGTGCTGTAAGCCGTTCTGGTCGACTTGTGTAATTCGTGGTTGTCACCAACTGTACAGTCCTTAGTCATCCTGTCCCACGGTTAATCACAATCTCTATTGGGTATCACCGACGCTTGCCTGATTTGGCCTTGCGCGGTAGTGACTCAATCGTCTCCACTCCGTGATACTCTAAGTATCTGTCGAGTGCCTCTAACTCGTCGCAGTGGGATCGTGGTTCCCATGTAGTATCTCCCATATTCCATTTTATGTGGAATCGTATCCTTTTGCCATTCCACTCATGGCCAATTATTTCATCAACGACCCATTCGGCGTCGTCGGGGATTCCCCAATCATACGGATCGGTAAGTTGTCGATTAGGGAACAGCGAGTCGTCGTTGGCGACGTGAGGTCGCAGTTTCGACACATGAAACCTCGGGTGTATTCCCCGCCTTGCTAGCTCGTCGGGCAGCTCGAGTACGTAGTTGGACGTTTCGGGCATGGCCTTCAGGACTTTATATGGTCCCACATACTTGGGGAGTAGCTTGCCCGCCCGTCCCTTGGGCAGAGCCAGGTTGGATGTATCCAGGTATACCATATCACCTTGCCCGATCTTGGGCTCGTTTCGCCTCCTCGTGTTTGCGTAGTACGTCTGGAATACTCGTCGTTCGACTACGGCGTCGTAGACGTCCGAAATGTTTTGTCGGGCTTTCTCGACGAAGGCTGCTACTCCTGGTGCTCCAACGAAGTCGGATCGGTGGATCTTCATGGTCGTTGGCAGGTAGCCATAGTTGGCCTCGAAAGGGGCCAATCCCGTCGTGCTGCTTATGCTCGAATTTATGGCAAATTCAACCATGGGTAATTTGGCTACCCAATCGGACTGGTCCGATTTCACTACCGATCGCAGTATTTGCGCGATAGATCGGTTGGCTCGTTCCGTCTGTCCGTCAGTTTGTGGGTGGAACGATGTAGACATATTCAGTCTGGTTCCCAATAAGCGATGTAACTCGCGCCACCATTTAGAGGTGAATTTGGAGTCTCGATCAGAGACTATGGTGGAGGGTAATCCATGCAGTCTACATATTTCTTTTAGGTATATTTCGGACAGTTGGGATGCTGTCGTCCGCGTGTTAACGGGAACGAGGTGTACCATCGACGTGAGTCGGCATATGACCACCCATAGATAGTTTTTGCCATCCACTTCTGGGAATGGTCCGACGAAGTCCATTCCTATGCTGTCCCACGGCTGAGTGGGTATCGGTAGATTGTGTAGTTTACCGGCGGGCGGCTGGTAATTGCCCTTCGCCCGCTTACAAACGACACAAGTATCACAGAATTTTGTGACCATGCCCGTCATTTTGGGCCACCAGTACCACCTGCGTAGATACTCGGTTGTCTTAGCGGGTCCAAAATGACCCACCACTTCATGGGCCTGCTCTATTGCCATGCTGCGCAATGGTACCCCATTGAATTCACCCGAGGGGAGGCAGAGAACGTATTCGCTCCCCACGTTGTGTACCCAAACCAATCGGTCCTTAACCTTAAATTTGGGATACTCGGTGGGTTTATCGATGATTTTCGATAGCAGGGGATCAGTCGCATTATTCATGCGCACGGATGTGGTGAAACCTGCATGCGCGGCTAAGTCAGCTCGCAGGTTGTTGCCCTTGTTGGTGGATTCGAATACGGTGGGGTCGCTGTCGTGCGTATCCCGTTCATCGATGGCTGGCGTGGCCGCCTGTCCGATTTTGTCAGCTTCCCTTTGTCGGTTCATCTGTCTGTCACCGATCCGGATGGCTCGCAGTACATCGGTATGCTGTCGTGATTCTATCACGCGTGGCCATGGCACAATTTCTAGGTCGGGGTCAACCCGGGTGTCTGCATTGACATATTCGTTGACGTCGTGTACTTCGTCGTCGGAGTCCTCCGCGTAATAACGCGATAGTGCATCGGCTACTTTATTCAACGTCCCTTTGACGTACTGGATGTTGAATTGGAAACGGGATAAGTACTCCATCCATCTGGCCTGTCTTGCTGATGGTCGCTTGATGTTATGGAAGAACTCCAGCGCGCGATGGTCTGTGATGACCGTGATAGGATACCCTAGGAGTTTGTCCTCCCATTTGAGGAGTGCCTCAATTATTGCTAGGGCTTCGCGCTCGTACACTCGGTAGTGATGTTGAGCGGGGGTGAACTTGCGGGACATGAATCCCGCTGGCCTGCATGTGGCCCATTCGGCTCCCTGACCGTACATTGCCCCCACGCCCGACAGCGAGGCGTCACATATGACCCATATTGTCTCTGAATTCGAGGGGTCGATGGGTCTGAGTATGGGCGCTTTACAGCATAGTTCCTTGATGATGGTGAAGCACTTGTCGTGTAGCGGTCTCCAGTAGAAAGGTTGGCCATTCTTTTCCATCGATTGGAGAGGGCCTGCATATGCTGCAAGCTCTGGGATGAAATGGGCTAGGTATTGTACGAGCCCCATGAACTGAAGTACATCATTATATGTACGTGGCGTACGCCATTCACGGATGCGTTGCAACTTGTCGTTGCACGGTTTCAACCCATTTTTGTCGATTATGTGTCCCAGACAATCGACCTTGTCGGCGTACAGTTCACACTTCTCAGGCTTGAGGTAGAACTGATGCTCGCGGATTTTCGCGAACACCAGTTTCAGGTGTCGTTCATGATCCCCGATCGTATTGCTGTATACGAATACGTCGTCCAGGTAGACGTGGACAAATCGTCCAATGAAGTCACGGAATATGTGATTCATAATCCGCTGGAACGTGGATGGCGCATTGCAGTCTCCTTGCTGCATAACGTTGCTATGGAACGTGCCGTATATGGTGGCGAAAGCAGTTTTCCATACGTCTGCTGGTTCCACTCGTACTTGTTCGTACGCGTCTGAGAAATCGATTTTTGATCGATATTTGGCTCGGGCTACATCCATACGTATGGTATCTTGGTCCGGGAACGGCGTCACGTCCTTTCGTGTATTCTCGTTTCGTTTGCGGCAATCTACTACTGTTCGTAGCATTCCCGACTTCTTGAATACACACAGCATTGGTGCTGCTTGGTCAACCTGAGCCGTCTCCCACCATCCTGTCCGCGTATATCTAGTTATCTTTTCCGATAACTGTGACTTCAGCGAGTCAGGGCATTTAGGCAGATAATAATTATATCTTTTACCCTCGTCCAATAACGGGATGGTGTGGTTTATGTCCCTTAGAGGCGGCAGCCCATCAGGCGGGCCTTTCATTATGTCAGCGCATTCCTCTAGCCATCGTTTCCGTAAAAACGGGATGTGATCGTCGTTCAGTGTTGTTGCTGACCCGATTTCTTTTCCCAGCTGCTCCGTTGCAGCTCGTAACATGGTTGTCACTCGCGCCGTTCTCTCCTTTCGCGCCCTTTTTTTGTTATTTCCTCCATCGTATATTTTATGATGAGGAACGTGGCTCACCCGGACCTTAGTTAAGATCTCTTCAGCTTCAATTAGCTGATTGTGGTTCATGGTGACATCCTTGTCATCTGGGTCATTCGGCAGCTCAGCCTTGCCCGCGCTCTTGTGCGCTTGGGGCCGCGTTGACGCCTCATCTAGTCATTTCCTCCGTTGTATGGAGTGTCTTCTGGCCATAAGTCGTGTCTCCTCCCCTTCCTTAATTGCGTCGAATGTGCGGTTGCCTATTCGGACGCATTTATCCGCGAAATCGAGTACTATGCCGTACTTTCGCATTGTGGGGGTGCCGATGATTGCATCGTATCGGTCCAAATTGGCTATGTCGAAGTATGTTTTCGACACTATTGGCCCTAGTTTTAGGGTAGCTTCTGCTCCGAAGTTTATCCTCGAACTGCTACCTACCGTGCCCAGTTGTAGTGGCACTGGCTCTTTCAAGTGGCCATATGGAATTTTCGCTACTCTAGCGTATTCCGGACTGAGACTGTCAGTCGTGCATCCTGAATCAAATAGCGTGAAGGCCTGTTCACCGCCTATGTCCACCAACATGGCTAGTACAGCCTTTTCGTCGCTCGTTCGCTGTGGCCTAGCCACGTATTTACGATCCTGCGACCACAATGCGATTCGGTCTCCCGCTATTTGTCGCCGAGGCCGCTGCTCCGGTGCGGCGTTTCTCATAGCAAACATGCGTTCTCCCAACGCCTCGTTCATCGCTGCCATGCGATCATCTCCAACATCCTCGGGTTCGTTCTCATACTCGTCCCGAGATCCATCACTGTCACTAGTGGGCGACGAATATCTTGATCTCTCGTACTCGTCGTGTCGATCATCTTCGACGTGGGCACTGGTTAAACCTCCAGCTTCCGCTACTGACCGCTGGTCATGCGCCAGGGATGCCACCGATCGTCCGTCATCATGATCGTTCACATCTCGTGCAGCGAACATCTTTGGCTGCTCCCGTTTTGGGCATGCTGGGTCACTCGCAAAGTGTCCCAAGTTGCCACACGCGTAGCATCGTGATTGGGAGGGTCCTGGGTGTGTCTGCCGAGGCGCGTTGGGCCGTGCGGCATGATTAACTATGGGCCCTTTACCGGGCCGCTCGTCCTTCCGTTCATTACGAACGTTATTGATGGGCGGCGTCGGCCTTGTATTGGTATTTTGGTCCCCTCTACGCAGGCCGTGAGGGCTCGATTTGCCCTCGTTGCCATTGTAGGGAGTGTGTCTGGCGAACCTACGGTTCCCCGATTGCTGCCTTTCACCATTCACGTTGGTGTTGGCTGCTCGTTTCGAACTAGCCGCCGCGTAATGTTTAGTAATTATCCGTCCTTCCTCCACTTGGATGGCGACGCGGTATATTTCTTTCAGACGGTGTCGTTCCGCCGTATATCCATGGTCAATAATCACATTCCTGATGTACGACGGTAGTCCCATCAGGAACTGTCGCCTGAACGTATAGGCATCCACCGAGTGGATCATACGCGCTGCCTTACGGTCGAGCTCGTCGTAGAAGCCCCTCACGCCTCCACTGCTCGTGTATTCCACGGCGTAAAACTGCTCAGTAGCGTCTTGCATCGCAGTGGGCTGTACGAACCGATCGTACATGTCTAGTATGACTCTCGCGAATGTCCACGAACGGTGGCGTCGGTACATTCCATCGACTTCGTCGTTGTACCAGGTGGCCGCCTTTCCATCGATGAATAGGCCAACCATGGCTACGCATTCGCCATCCCTTTCAGCGCCTCCATAGAGTTGGAGGCGAAGCCACCTCAGCAGCGATTGTAGCCAATTGTTGAATATTTCAACGTCTGCCTCTCCCGAGTATTTGTCGGGTTTCGGAATTCCCGAGGGTGGCTTCAGCCCATTGGGTAGCACCAGCTGTTCTCCTAGCTGATCATTGATTAACGTCAGGTATCGACGTTCGATGGCGCGTTGGTAGGACGATGATTGTCCTGGCAGTTCATGCCTTCCCACATCCAGATCTTCTGAGGTGAGTCGTGACCGATGCCTCCTATTGACGTCCATATCATTAAGTTCGCCCATACGCAATTGTGTGTTTTCCCTGCGATGGGGTTCCCCGTCGCCGTTATCGTCACCTCGGCTCGATAAGGATCGATTTCTCGATCTAGCTCTTCGCCCTACTGGGGGCAGTTCTGCATACGGCTGGGTTGCCGGAATGTTGTATCGCGACGAGCGACGATTAGTTGTCGGGTCACCCCCATAATCAGGGACCGTGTGGTCCAGGTTACGGTCAGATAACACTGTTACTGCGGTTTTCACGCGTTTGGGGCGTGCTGGGGCAGCCGTTGCCAATCTCTCATTGGCCACACCGTTATTATGATGTGCGGGCCGCTCCATGGGCGCGCCCTTATCATCAAATACTATCCCTTGATCAGGGATTTCGGTGTATTCGTGGTTGGCCATGGCGTCATTCCGCCATCGTTGTAGAGCCACACGTGTATCCCAGCTGGGGTGTACTGGGCCACGGAGCTCCTGGACGTTGTCCGTACGTGCTGGTTGCCCAGCTGGCGCGGCCCCATCGCCATTGTGTTTGTCGCGAGTGGCCCGGTCAGCCAATATGGCTCGCACCAGATCGTTGATCTGCTCCGTGGACAGTTGTGTCCCCGTTTCGTTTTCTCGAATCCTCATTTGAATGAGAAATTCGGTGAACGCGCCCTGCAAAAGCGTAGGCGATGGCATCATCGTTTGCCGTTTGTCCGCTGAGCGTTGGTCGTTGACCCATTCCCTCATTCGTTGGGACGAGGCCTCGGATTCGTGCTTGGCGTTGCCTCGCTCGTAATCGTTTGCCAGCCTCTTTTCCCTTTCTCTATCCCGTTCCAGGTCAGACGATGTAGCTCGTCCTTTCCCTTTATTGCGGGTGGGCAATATGGACTCGATGGATTCTGGCCGTCCAGCGCTCGGCGCTCTGTTCTGAATGGAACCCTCGTTTGTATCCATTGTACGTGAGCTAGGCGGCTTATGCGCCCTGCCCTCGCCTCTTGTCGAGTGGGACCTTTGTTCCCCGGACGCTCCCGTGTTTGGGACTGGTGGCTGGCGGAAGCGAAGCGGCGTGGGGTTACCTTCCCCATGCCAGGACTCGTTGTGGTCTGATGCCCTGTGTGGCACTCGTATCGCACGCTCGGAGGTATCCGATGAGCTCACCCGGTTGCTTCTCCTTCCATGCTCGTGTATTCGAGCTTCGTCCCACGCGTTGGGCGTGAAGTAGTCTCGTGGACTATGTGACATTCCCGTCGAGGAATTTTATGGCTGCGTAAAAAAGTGTAATGATGTGAGGCTTCTTACTCTGTTCATGCTGCACAATACGCAAGACCGACTCTATTCGGGAACGTACGTGCGTGGTGTAAAGTAAAGAAGTTAACTACTAAATACGGATGTACGCGTAATAGTATCCAAGATAGGAGGGTCATGTGGCTCAGGGGAGCCAGGGGTTACACTATTATTTTGGACAGTATGTATTGTGAAATATCTGCTACATGTGCGTTATGTATATAGTCATTATATTCATAGTATCTACAGGAAAGGTGTATGTGGTGGTAAGAAGGAAAGAAGGGAAAAACGGATCACGGAGTCCGCGACGTGACTTGGGGGGCGATCGGGTGCGGAAGATGCCGATGATTCAAGTCACATGAGGTACAGATAAAAAATTGCCTGATATAGATACCTCGGATATTCTAAATACCATCGCCGAGGGTAGCCCGAAGATAAGATAAAAGAAAATTAGAATTCCATCAGGATACCCTCGCCGAGGATGGTAAGATGGCAATTTGATTATCTTCTGCCAATCATCTTGCGTGGTAATCAGAAGATATCCTGATTTCCCTCGACGAGGGAATTCAGAACATAGCCGGATGATATTTAGATTATCTTTCTCGATAACTTCCGGTTGCTATCTCAGGAGGTTTTCTGATTATCTTCCCCGATGGAAGTGTGAATTTATTTTACATGTTAATTACATTTACTTCTCATTTCCGCCGCAGATGTAAATGGGAATTTATTTAATCTAATCACTAAGCTAACATCTCAATTCCCTCTGTGAGGTTATCGGCTTATCCCCGCAGTGTATAGCTCGCTGGTGGGAAGAACATGCAGCGGGTTCTTGCGCGGCCGGACATCTTACAGTGCTTCTTAGGGGATGCGAGCGAGGAGGACTTGGATGCGATTCGTGGTAGGTAGAGGAGAATGTGGGGCTTGGATCTGCAAGACGAAGTGCACACGAACGAGACTACTGAGCCGCTTGCGGTGCAATGGAATCATGCTGAAGCCGCAGAGAGACGCCGACAGGAACAAGAAAGCGATTCCTAGATTCCTCGACGAACTACCGGTATCAGATAGGAAGGCTTGGGTCACCATGGAGTCGATTGTTCCTCCGAAAGGGACGGCGAACTATTTAATACGAGCTAGCGGCGTCGGGGTGAGGACGGAGGTTGTGAATGAGTCGAGGATCTTTCGTTTGGCATTGCTCAAGAAGGAAAGCTGTGGAAGACGATGAAGCAGGATGGTTAATCAGAACGAAAAAAGAGTCGACAGTAACGAAGGAGGTGTGGCTACGTCGCGATGATGATCTGAGGGCGACACGGAGAGAGAGGACTAGGTCGCGGCAGAGTCGAGCCCAATCCCGTAGGTAGATACATTGCAAACGAGTTGAAACAACCCATCACTACGAAGTTGCTGCCACTCATGATGACATCGTCGCGCGAGGATGCGCCAGAACTCGTCTCCCTCCTCTGATACCCACTGACATTCTCCTGCTTGGAAGACGCGCACACGGCTACTGCCTGCATCTTCAGCTTCCAAGTTCGCAGAGCGACAATATCACCCATGCTCTTCTCTTCCACCTGCTACGAACAGGTCCCAAGTCTGAACGAGGTCCCCTATTCCACAAGGGCTGAACCTACGAGTAATGGCAATGGCGGGTTGAACCCGGGGTTCGTACATGCAACGTCCGTAGCCTCGCTCAGCGGTAGCGAGGGAGGAGTATGTGGGGCGCGCAGGGTTTCAGGCGGCACATACTGTGGATCCCCGACACCGTAATTCCTACTGCGCGAATAATACCCGTACACCCGCTCATTGGCGAACAACTTGTAGTCTGCGGCGAGCATCGAGTTATGCGGCGACGCGGCTGATCCTCTCCCTCGCGTGCGTTTATGGGCACCAGGATGCGGGTCGTCCCAGATGAGGAGCCGCCGATCGCGCCCTCGGGTGAGGCACTCAGCTTGAAGGCGGTAAAGGCACGGCTGAAGCCCTCGCCGTATGGCACCGGGATGTCGATGTCGAGGGCGGAGAACAGAGCGAATACTCTGTCCTCGGGAGGGTGGTGTCTCGATAGCGCATCGCGTGGAACAGGAAGAGGACTTGATGGACTCCGGACTCGTAGACCGCACGGTGCTGATGCCCAGGAGTTGCTGATGGAAGAAAAAGGCAACCGTAAGCACAAGCACCCGGAGACATAAGGCGCTGGACAATGGACAGCACGTACCTGTGGCACTCGGATTCGAGTTCACGATACCCTCCGTAATTGATGCCATCGAGCTCGAGGCTGAGCGGGTTGAAAGGTACACCACACAGACGTACGCACGGCGGTACCATCCAAACTTCTGATGAATCGATTCCCTTCTCTCTTCACTTATCAGATGCTGTCCATCCACAAGTACAGACACCCCCAGCGCAATTCGACGACCTCCCGAAAGCCCGCAAGTTTCTTGAACCCCCTTGCTCAGGCATATCATCTGCATGGGACGCTCCAACTTGGCACATTCATCCACGACGTACGCAGAATAAATCACATTCGCTATCGTCCCCATGAGCGCCGTGCACGTCAGCGGGCATCCAGTCCAGGTCTTCAGGGAGCCGGAGATGTTGCTCGCGAGCTCGGCGCGCGTGATGGTGCGGTTTGTGCGGGTGTCGGAGACGTGGAAGGGGCATTGGGCGGTGGAGGTTAAGATGTAGCTATCATGCCTGATATGGCGGGAGGACACATGTATGAATGAGACGCGGGCGACGTGGAGCAGCGATGGACTCACTGGATAATACCCAAAAGCAACCCCTCTCACATCGCCTTGATGGTGGAGAAGGACACCACGAACGCACCATCCTCATGCCAAATTCACTGTGCCGCCACTCCCAACGAGGCCTCAAGATGGTCGGCCACCCCATACAGAACGATGGGATACGAGAACAGTGTTGAGGAATTCGGCCACCTCTTCTCCGCGCGTCCGTTTCTCCATCGAACCAAGACGTTGAAGGCTCTCTGCCTCTCTCTCTCATTGTTCCCGAGGCGAGGGAAATGAGAAAGAGCCAGGGCGCTGGCACTGCGGCACACGGAACGGCCCGATTTTGTCTTGCTGATTCCAAGGTCTGGTCACTATTGCCCCTCCATTTACCTCTTGGTTTGCGATCATCCCATGTCTGCGCGAAGTGGACCTTTTCTATGATTCTTCGAATACGCACTATTGCCGTACTTGAAGTTACTCGATTTGTTGGGTTTTTTGTTATGTTGCGGGTTCTCTAGCATTCAACGTCCCTAGACCGCGGTACATCTCCCTCAAGCCGTGGCCATACTACCTCCCGCGCCGATCTCAGCTTCTCAAAGTGCTCCCGGATTCGTACATCTTCAGCACTTCGTTGCTTTGATCTGGCGTAGGGGAGGAGAGAAGAAGGGAAGTTGCGTTCCTTTGTCGGTGAGCTCGTCATACTCTGTCGCTAGCGCCCAACGTTCCCAACGCTCAACACTGTCTCTTTGACTTTAAGGTGTCCGCGCACCGTTTGCAACCTTCGCGTCTACCGTGGGCTTCTTCTTTGTCGCTCCAACCAGCTTAGACCGACTCGTACGATCGCTCGACATCTCGCTAGGGTTGGCTACGTGTCCCATTTCGCAGCCTGTGGGGCTCATGGTCACTCAATGTCGCGTCATCGATGTGAAGCGGTGTGCAGAGACCTTCAGGTCGTTGGGACAGCCGATGGGCTTGAGCTGGATGCAGCAGCCGTCCCAGGCACTAACGGCAGGAATCATGACCTGCTTATGGACTGGCGTCGAAAGGGCGGTAGGGCTGAAGCTGGAGGTATCGGCTGGAAGGGCACTGCGTCTCCGTTTCTCAATAAGCAGAAGCAGAGCTTGTTGTCGGCGATACGGGGCATCCATAGCGGAGTAAGACAGTGCTGGTGCGATTCCACTCACGCGCTGCACCTCCATGGAAGATCGCAACAACAGTGGAAGGATGGGTCGGTTCTATCTCTGTCTACGGGATCCCGCTCGCCCTCTCTCTGCGTTGTCATCACCTCACCAGCGCCCAAGCGTCCAATCCGACTACCGCTGTAATCTCTCTTCGCGCCTAACTCGGGCCTAACTCCGGCGTTCCGAGACAAGACAATTTATCGCCGTACTTTCCAAAATAGCGACGGGGGGTATGAACGCACACATACGGACGTCTACGGGAGTACGACTGCAGGCATAAAGGAAAGCGGGAATGCCCGGCTTTTCACGTCCCCCTGCTCCACCTCTCTGTGTCTCTACGCCTTCTTGGGATCATCGGGACGTCGAACACTCATAAATCCAATATCCCATATACTGCACGGCGGCAGCCTGAAGTCCGTCTTGAACCTAGGAAACCCATTATAGTAGGGAGCAACGGTCGAGTCGGGTACGTTTGCGCTGTCAGAGAGCTCGTTGTATTGTGCGTCTACCAGTCATGTGTTACGCATTTGTTACTGATACCCATTCCCTGCAGCGCTCAACCCTTTTCATGCTTCTGATGCGCCTTTGAGGGGAAGGAAGGTGAGACGTGGTGCGTATCGGAGTGGGCATTGAGGGGGCGAGTCAGACTCATACGCCATATCGCCGCTCGTCGACCTCCAGCGAGAGTAGCAATCGAAAGCGTACACAGAAGGTATCTACGCTTGCATCGACGGGTTACAACTCGCCGGGAGGCGTCTATGCGCCCGGGACAAACTTACGATGTGATGGGGAAGAAGTACGTGAACGCACCATCTCCCCGTTGAACTCGCGTTCCCACCTTCCCATCGTACTGGCACTACTGGCGCCTCCAGCTGCTAGCCAATCCGTTTAGCTACGAATGTCCAGCGCTGCCCGTCAAGTCTCCTGCTCCCTCCGCCTATCTTTCAAGGCCGTCGCTCCCTATCATCGTATCGTTGGATGCGGTGTTCCGAGCCAGCGTCTGAGGATATGAGCGCGCATATATGGACGTGTGCGTGATTACGATCGCAGGCTTGAAGGAATGCGGGAATGCCCGAGTTGCCCTGCTTCACGTCTCTGTGTCCACGCCTCCTTGGGAACATCGGGACGCCGAACTCTGTTCGTCGCCGAATGGAGGAGCGCAAAGGGGGTAGAGGGAGAGGAAGTAGAGGAGAAGGCATGGAGTAGATGATGGTCCGGGAGAGAGAGAGAGAGTAAAGCATCGGGATGCGGCGAACAAAGCAGATTCCGACATTTTTCGATTTCAAGGTCCGGTCTGTCCATTTACCTCTTGATTCATCATTATTCCCATGTGATTATTCGAATGGACACTGCCCTCCACCCATTGTAGTGTTCGGTTTGTTTCGCCTGCTAGCCATTATATCTCATTGGTATTGTTCGAGACTCTTCGCAACCGCAACTCCATAGCTTTCTCTCACTACTTACATCTCATCACCATCTCTCGCTGATCTCAAGCACCGTCGACGTGCGTACAATGTTGGCTCCCTGACATGACTCTCGGTCAGGAAACCCTTATCATCGGGGTAATAAACGGCATGGAGTCGACTCGGGCACATTTGCGCTGTCAAAGGATCAACTTCATAGTGCGTCTACTTCCACAATTAGATCATGGCTCGCACGCACACGCGCAACGGCTCCCTCATCGCCACTCTGCCACCACTAAGTCGCGGGCATGGTCGCCGTTCCATTTCCACTTTGTGAACCTGCGAGGAATAGCGGCGCCACCTGGCGCTCGCATACGCATCATCCGTAGCACGTTGGGCGGCAGCGCGGGAGGGTATGAGAGTGAGATACATGCGCTGATGTGGGGCGAAACGGGGGCTCAAGGCAAGGGTACATTGCAGAAGAGCAGTCGCAGCGGGGACGTCGTCGGCGAAAAGGAAAGCGACGGCAAGGGGTTGAACGAGGAGCCAAGATGGGAAGCAGCGCGCAGATATCTGCGACTCGCGAGTTCTCACTCCATGGGAAGGTTGGCTTGAGCTGCGCACGGGCAGCGTTGCACCGAAGTTCCATGCTGCTTGTGGCGCACCTCCTGGCGTTGAACGGCTGACGCGCCATCGACGAGCTTCTTGAAAGAGCGTTAGGGACGCGGAATGACAGAAAGCGAAGGAGAAGGTGAGGGCACCGGATGTCCCCGGCCCGAACCTCCGTTGTCTTCCTCGTTAATCGTCCTGGCGTAGTACGTGCTGTCGGCGTTTGACACTCCCAAGAACCTCCCGAATCTCCTTGCAATCCCTCTCGTGCGTCCTCATGCAATCCACCCACGGCTCCGATATCCGAACTTCATGGGACAAGCTAGCAAGTTTCGACTCCTGTAGCTTCCACGCTTCGAGGTCCAGCCTTTCTGCCCAGCGACGACCGTCATTGCGCAAAGGGCACCGTAGTACGTACGCTCCTCGAAACTGCGATAATCGAGCTAAATTTCGATTATGCACAGATTTACGCTTTCCCAGAGCCTTTAATCCCTTGATCCCATGTATGAAATAACGCCTGTATCTGGCAACCTGCCATCATACTCAAAGCTACAGAAATGGGCCAAACCTCGATTTGACCTCGTTGCATATCTGGATATTTTCTTTGTAACAGGTTGGAATGAATCGGGGTACGAGCTGAATCGAATAATATCTACCAATTACTGAATCTCGTCAGGATTGACCGCCCTCTGGACCTACTCAGGTCTGTCGACGCCATCCGCGACTTGGTAAACGAGAGCATGGAGGTCCAGCTTGCTCCTTGCGGTCGGCAGTCAGTGCGAATCAGACGCTGCCAGACATGAGTAGAAGAGATCGCCTACGGAATACTACAATTGTCGGTGTATTCTAGAATTGCGCCAAGACGAGGTGAGTAGCTTCGTACTTTGCACTATGTAGAACTAACAGGCACTTTCTAGGCCCGCTGCGCATCGTCGTCGGCTCCCGCTACTCGCGCCACCACTTCAACTCGCTCGATAAACCTCCTTCCTTCAGTGATTCGTCTCCGTTTGCTCCGATATAGTCAATACTTCCCCTCTCGCATTGATTGGTATTACGCTCTGGATTCTCCCCTTTGTTGTCCCCGAACACCACCAATTGCACCTTCTTCCACGCCTACGTCGTCTTTTGTCTGCGCCCACATTCATACCAAATAACGATAACGACTCACCGGCACCCTTCATTGTACACTTTCCATCTACTATCAGTGTGATACATCGTAAGGGTATGGGACGCTCAAGCAAGAGAGTGCGCATTACGGCGAGCATTCCCAACCTCTCATCGTGACGGAGCGTAGACCTCGTGCTCGACCTTCGAACCTTCGAGCCGTCGGATCGACAGCGCG